AGAGTCCTCTCCTGCTGATGTTCAGGTGTATATCAGTATGTAGTGTCTCTACTTTAAAGAGTCCTCTCCTGCTGATGTTCAGGTGTATATCAGTATGTAGTGTCTCTACTTTAAAGAGTCCTCTCCTGCTGATGTTCAGGTGTATATCAGTATGTAGCGTCTCTACTTTAAAGAGTCCTCTCCTGCTGATGTTCAGGTGTATATCAGTATGTAGCGTCTCTACTTTAAAGAGTCCTCTCCTGCTGATGTTCAGGTGTATATCAGTATGTAGTGTCTCTACTTTAAAGAGTCCTCTCCTGCTGATGTTCAGGTGTATATCAGTATGTAGTGTTTCTACATGTCTTCATGCTTTAATGATCAAAAAGCTCTTTATTCTTCTCATACTGCCTGTGCTGCAGCACCTCTTTTCACCCTCTGTCTTACAGCAGAGCCAAGAAGTCTGCTCTGATTGGTTAGCTGGCCGACTCTGTTATGATTGGTCAACCGCTTAGTGATGTCCCGCCCCTTAGCCTATCACGTACAATGTGTTGGAGCGCTAGCCAATAGGAGCGTGAGTCTTACACTGTGTTGTCACTGTTTTATTCCGGTCATTAATATTTTGAATGAAGTAAAGGATTTTCTTAGTAAAAAAATTCACGGAAAATATTAAATCTGCTAATGATGATTATTGATTATATGTCTAAAAAAAAAAATATGTTCTCCAAATGAAACATTTAAATTGCTTTAATATAAATTACACATTTTAACCAATGATGCAACATTATTTAATGAAAACATATCAGAAAGTATTTGTTTTTTGGATTGTACATTCTGGGATACTTCTGTAAAAAACTATATGTAAATAAATGATGGTTTGTGTCCCTTGTCTTCACTTCCAGTCAGTGTGGAGCCATTACTGAGAAGATGAGATAACAATTATGTGAAACTCTGATTATCCCTGAGAGGAAACTCAGTATAATTTACTGCAGGAATAAAATAACTTGAGACTTAAACCGCCTGCAGCAGAACGTCCGTCTGTAGATGAGACACGGCATTTAGAGATACCCTGCAGCACTTTACCACCAGCACATCACGGATATTATGATATCCAGCTGTTTTATGTCCTCGGAAACCCTGTTCTTTAACCTAATAATTGTAATACTTTGATATCACACTGTCACACTGAAATTGCACTATATTGTGTGAGTTTGGGAGCAAAGTGCAGCATTTTCAACCCCTTAAAAACTATCTTTTGGCACTTTAAAGAAGCAGACTGTCTCTCTGTGAGGCTTTTAAAACGTCTTCCTTTCTGTGAAATACATCTTATTCAGAACTGTTGAGATCTTCATATGAAGTGAATACTTAAAACGAAAGTTAATTGAGATCATGGTATGAAGTGAATACTTAAAAAACGAAAGTTAATTATAAATCATACATGATCAATCATATTCTTGTATAAACCCATAATGAGAATGCTTCTTGACGGTTTTTGAATATGTATCTATGCTTACAATTTTTTCTGTTGCTATTTTGATAACTTTGCGTTTTGAAAAGAGGGTGTTGTGAGTTTTCATAGTATGTTTAATACTTAAAAACGAAAGTTAGTTATAATCAAATATAATCAATTATATTCTTGTATAACCCACAATGAAAATGCTTCATATTTTAGGTTTTCTATAGTTACAGTATAAACAAAACCAAGTGGGTTGTTTAGGTTGAGTTTTCTTCCTCTCCTCTGGCAGCAGTCCAGAGAGAGGGGGGGGGTGGGGGGGCTTCACACTAAGGGGAGAAACATTAGAGGCCAAAGAGAGTTCATGTCCTTTTTACCTCATATGAAAGGGTGTCTTATCCCATAACAGCTATGGAACATGTTGAGGCATGTTCAGCATTGTACATTATAGGACATGCGCAGTTCTTCACAAATTAGGTGTAGAGGAGGAGTTTGTTTTTTGGGTTTTCGATCCAGTTTTTTTAGCATAAAGAGACTGGTTTGTTGAGAGGAGACACAGAGAGAGGGGGGGTGACCCCTGGTAGACTCTCTCCCGGTAGGCTGTGTGCTTCAGAGCTGGGTTAATAGCTCTCGGTAAGGTCCTGCCAGACGGGGTAAATATCTCTCGAATGTATTGGTTGTTGGCTGAGTGGAATTATTTGATGAGAGATGTGTGTATGAACCTTTATAAATACCGCGACCTGTGGGGAAATCTTGCCCCCCGAATTTTGCGGACAGGTATGGGTTTTTGAGTGTTAATCCGCCGTCTGTGTCGGAAAAAACGGTATGAAACTGATGTGAATTGAGTTGGTGAAATGAAAAAGTTGAATGCGCTTTTTATTGTCACCGGTCTTTTTACGAGGAAATACCTCTAAATTCTATCGGGAGAATTTTAAAATGTCACAACTGAAATGGGCAGTTGGAATTAAAACATTTTGGTAATAAATGTAAGACTGTGAATTAAAGTTTCATTTGAACATGATCACAGCACGGTTTTTTGTTAGGATGATTATAATGTTGTAAGAGAGAAGGTAAAAACCCTGTATTAGTTTGGACCTATTTTTCTTCAAATAAACTGAATCCCACCTGTTGGATTGGGATCCTTTAAAAGACACCTGTGCCCTCCTCTCCTGCGTCAAAGGTAAGATTGCACCCTGCCACACACACTTAGGTAGGAGCACACTCCATTTACTGATATCAAAATCCTTCGGGATTCCTTAAACAGATTAAAAAAGAGTTGTCTGAATTGAAACAGCAGTTAATTGAACCTTGGTTTTTCGGGGGGTTAGGAAGAGGTGAGACCTTGCTGATGTTGGTGGATCTGAGCCACGCAGCAAACTTACATAGACTCAATAACTTCGGTCAGGTCAATTAGTAGGTCAGAGTAATTTACCGGAATAAATGATCAGGGCCTCTCCGACTCTAAACAGAACTTATATTTAAATCAACACTTAGACAGATCAAATCATACCAAAGGCTGTAATTGAGTTCTTTCAAAGCATGTTCTTTAATCTTTCTTGTAATCATTCATTAAACATTTTATATTATAGTACCTTGCACCTTCCCGTACGTTTCATCGCATCAAAAAGTGTTTTTGTGTTCCCCAAACACTATAACCTTTAGACATGAGAATGTAATTAGGACTAAGCCTTAATAGTGATTTTAATGCATCACTCGGAGTGGGTTCAACAGACGGTAAATAAAAGACTCAGATTTAAGCAAAAACAAACAAAAGTTCATCGCCCTTTATTAAATCTTTTCCAGATGGTAAAGGCTGATCCGACACAGTATTGCACCGAGTTAATGTTACCGAAAGTTCGACCACATCACTAGCTCTTAAAAATACAGGCAGTACACAAAATATGCCCTCTGATCATTTTTCAGTAGTTTTCCATAAATAGATTCAGCTCAATGTTTTGTATGTCCATCAATCACACCTTTATGTACAGATCAGTAGAGGACAGTGTACCAGACTCAGCAGCAACCGCTCACTTTACACAACTGGATCAATTAACAAGCCAGGAAGCCAGGAAGCATCTCAATGGCGTTTCATTCTTCTGTTCCTGGCTTGCTAATTGACCGACTTTCTTATTATCACAGACTATACACAATTAAGAACAAATGTACAGTCATCAGGCAGAGAGGATAGAAATGCATATATACATAAATACAGCCCATGTACAGAATACTTACTCATAAATACAAGAATACACACAGGTTACTTTCGTACCGCCTGCTTTTTTCTTTTGCAGTACATTTCTACGGTGGCCGACAGGTACAAACTACGACAAGGGAGAAACGATGCAAATACAAAAACACAGATGTGCCAAAACACATGCCAACGAACTTGAAGACACGTGTGCAGAGTTTACAGAAAGCTCTGCATAAAGGAAACGCTGTAAGAAGCTCAAAACTCAACGGAGACCAGGGGACACTAAAAAGGGACGCACACAGCTGAGAGACCAGGGGACACTAAAGAGTGACGCACACAGCTGGGAGACCAGGGGACACTAAAGAGTGACGCACACAGCTGGGAGATCAGGGGACACTAAAGAGTGACGCACACAGCTGGGAGATCAGGGGACACTAAAGAGTGACGCACACAGCTGGGAGACCAGGGGACACTAAAAAGTGACGCACACAACTGGGAGACCAAGGGACACTAAAGAGTGACGCACACAGCTGGGAGACCAGGGGACACTAAAGAGTGACGCACACAACTGGGACCGGAGTGCTTGGTGACGTTCAGTGTTATTAAGATTGAACAACTGTCTCTGTTGTTGGAAACTCACCTAAAATGATTTATCAGCTTTTAACAATGTGATCACATGACTCCAGATCTGCTGTAAGCTAGCTAGCTAACGTAGCTAATCTAGTCATTTCAAACTTAACACTTACAGTTACGAGACAGACTGACTTTGTAATCTTGAACATCAACAAGTGCTCCGGTCCCAGCTGTGTGCGTCACTTTTTAGTGTCCCCTGGTCTCCCAGCTGTGTGCGTCACTTTTTAGTGTCCCCTGGTTTCCGTTGTGTATTTAGCTTCTTGTAGCATTTTGCATTTGCGCGTGTCTCGTCAAGTTGGTAACGATTCATCTGCATGTGTTTTGGAACATTTGTGTTGTTGTGGTTTCTGAAGCTGCAGCGTGTTTCTGCTAATGGAAATGTCTTGATCCGTTGTAGCGCGTTTGTACCTTTCAGCCACCGTACTTTTCCAATAGAGTTAGCATATATCGAACCTTCGTCTGTCTTTATTTAACGGGCATATTTAAAAAAGCGTTGGGTTTGCAGTTCAAGAGGAGACAGGGTGTGTAGTGCTTCTGAGATTATATCATGATTATTATGTACACTTTTGGAGCGTCAGTGCATAGTTTAAACTCAGCATCACGATTATGTGCAAGATATGAAACCAGGCGTGAGAGGAAGCAGCAGCTGGTGCAAACGTGTGTGACATTTAAATATTAGTGTTAACAAAGGATATGGCTTTCTGCACCTTCTTAGGCTTTACTCAAGTATTTTCTTCTTTATCTTGCGTCAAAAATTAAACTTTATTTCCTCGTCTTGCTTCCTTGGATTTTAAAACAAACTGAAGACAGCACCTAAATAATACAGCAAGGGAAAGAGGATATTATCATACTTTTAAGGCTTAAAATACTTAATAATATGTAAAGAAAAACCTCTGTGTTAATTTAAAGGAAACTCACTGTTAAATTGTACCAAAAAAACATCTGATAAATACAAAATACATTACATTTTGTGGAGGATTTCACATAAAACCTTGCAAAACGTAACTTTACATCCTCTCCACTAATGTAGGTGCGGCTCTCGTAGTGTTTCACCATGCGTTATCACACACAGAGGATATACAAATGTAGTATGAGCTAAAATCGGACTTTTACTTTGATGTTTCTGTGAGCTATTACAGGGCGCCGGTGAGGCACATGAGGAGCAGCAGGTGGACGGAGAGCAGGTAGAAGAGGAAGAGATGTCGAGAGCGGGCGCGGCTCGTCAGCAGGCGCGAAAAGTAGAGGCTCCGCCCCCTGATCCAGCGGCGACACGCCACCACGCCTCCTTTCACCTGAAAACACACAGAACAAAGTGTCATAAAGGAGAGTTTGCACTGTTTTATTGTTAGAGTATTGAGCCAATCATGTTCCAGCGACACGTGACCTCCTTCTTAATCTTCAGGCGTATTCTTTGGAGTCTGAATGTGTGATGGTTTGAAGAAAAGAAGTTTAAAACCCGTCATAGTTGGCTGGAGTGTCATAAAGGAGTATTTCATTGTTCTGAGTGTCTGTTTTTTTTTTACTGCACATATTTTATTCCATTCTATTTCAATGTAAATACTGCTTTATTTAATTTTGTTAATCTTATTTTTATGTTATTATAGTGTTCTTAAATTAGTTCTCTATCTGTGTTTTTACATTTTTATTTTACTTTTATGTATGCACCACGACACCAAGTCAAATTCCTTGTACGTGTCAACCTACCTGGTGATAAACCTGTTTCTGATTTAAAAGTATTGAGCTAACGTGACCTCCTTCTTAATCTTCAGGCGTATTCTTTGGAGTCTAAATGTGTGATGGTTTGAAGAAAATACATTTAAAACCCGGGTACATTTGCTCATAAAGGACGTCATCTCCATATTCTATTCAAATGTGTGTTTTCCAGTGCTATTGCTCCAAAAGATTTCCCCCACAATGACGCTTTACTGTTTCATCTGAATATAAGGAACCAGGAACACACATTTATTTACAGGCTTGTTTTGATGAGGAAAGTACGGAAGCCCTGAAAGGCAGAAATACAATTGTGGTAAATCACTTCTTAAATGAAAAACACAGGAGATAAAACTATTTAAAACACACCTTTTCTCACTTTCCTCTTAAGGCGTTTGTAGTAAGGGCTGAATAAATAAATATATTTGCTGTCATCTGCGTACCTTTCTTGTTATGAGGGGCTGGTTCGGGTTCAGACTCAGAGCTTCCCACTCCTCCTCTGTTTCCATCTCGATGTTGAAATCCCTCGGACTGGAGCTCACACTGCAAGACAGAAGCTTTTTGAAACACTCTGTACTATGCATGGTTGAATATATACTGCATGTGTGTGTGTGTATAGTGTGTATTAATCAGAGATGGCCAAAGTGCACACTTCCTTTACTCAAGTAGAAGTACAGATACTCGTGTTTAAAAATACTCTGGTAAAAGTAGAAGTACTGACTAAACTTCTTTACTCAAGTCAAAGTAAAGAGGGCTTTGAAATGTACTTCAGTAAAAAGTACCCATAACTAGCAGCTGTTTTAAAGAGTACCTGACCTCCCTTTATATTAATAGAACAATAATGTCATTGTTAGCTAATGAATGTTGAATAATAATAATAATGATCACGCCACCAAACACAGATTCAAACTAAAGTAACCAGCCTGTTCTGAAAATGTAAGAAGTAGAAAGTAAAAAGTCGTCAGAAAAATAGTAAGTACTGATACCAGAAAAATGTACTTAAGTACAGTAACGAAGTATTTGTACTCCACTACTTCCCTCCTCTGGTATTAAACAGAAACAATGAAAGATTAGTGACCTCTTGGCTCGGTCCTCAGCGAGTCGTAGAGCCTCTTCTGCCGTCTCTCTTCTCGATCTCTCGTCTGTTAAACTCTGCTCCAGCTCCAGCAGCCTGAATAACAATACATCTTTATTTGTAAAGCACTCTTCACACACAGGACGCAGCTCGGTGTGCTTTAACAGTCAGAGGTTATGAGCAAATAAGCAGCAGGTAAGGTCAAATAGGCAACAATAGAATAATCCAAAAGTCAAACAACAGATAACCCACTCAGTCAAATGTAGACACAAATAATAAATACAAGAAATAAATGGGTTAAAAATAATAAATAAAACATTAGATATTTATCGGTAAAGAAGCAGATTCCCTAATTTTACGTTTGTAGAATTTGGGGATATTTAAATATTTACATATGAGGACACATGGAGCATGTGCACATGATACACACATGACTCAAGAAGGTAAAATAGGCAAGAGAATAAATATAGTAAAATAGTCCAAAAGTGTACGACAGATTATTCATGCTGCAAAATGAAGACAGAAAAAGACACAATAAATAATTCAATATTAAATATTAAAAATACAAAAATTATATTACATACACACAAAATATACAAATAAACAAAAGAATAAAAAACAATAAAAGGGGGGATAGTGCCGTTAAACGCTAATGTTTCTAGCTCTTAGTGTCCTCTGACTTTGCCTCTCCGATACTTCTTCAATGAAGCTCAACCAATCACATACAAAAACATCTGTAGGAAGATATCATGAAAAATAAAACGTCACCTTTCTTGGAGCTGAGTGTTTTCAGCAGTGTCAGACATCATGGAGGTGTTGCTCCTCTCCTGGGGGGCTCCAGGTGCAACCTCAGCAAACACTGCCCCCTGGAGGTGAGGAGACAGCATTACTACAGGCATCACTACAGGCATTACTACAGGTATTATTACAGGTATTATTACAGGTATTATTACAGGTATTACTACAGGTATTATTACAGGCATTACTACAGGCATTACTACAGGTATTATTACAGGTATTATTACAGGTATTATTACAGGTATTACTACAGGTATTATTACAGGTATTATTACAGGTATTACTACAGGTATTACTACAGGTATTACTACAGGTATTATTACAGGTATTATTACAGGTATTATTACAAGCATTACTACAGGTATTATTACAGGTATTACTACAGGTATTATTACAGGCATTACTACAGGTATTATTACAGGTATTATTACAGGTATTATTACAAGCATTACTACAGGTATTACTACAGGTATTATTACAGGTATTATTACAGGTATTACTACAGGTATTACTACAGGCATTACTACAGGCATTACTACAGGTATTATTACAGGCATTACTACAGGTATTACTACAGGTATTATTACAGGTATTACTACAGGTATTATTACAGGTATTACTACAGGTATTACTACAGGCATTACTACAGGTATTACTACAGGTATTACTACAGGTATTACTACAGGTATTATTACAGGTATTATTACAGGTATTACTACAGGCATTACTACAGGTATTACTACAGGTATTATTACAGGTATTACTACAGGTATTATTACAGGTATTACTACAGGTATTACTACAGGCATTACTACAGGTATTACTACAGGTATTACTACAGGTATTACTACAGGTATTACTACAGGTATTATTACAGGCATTACTACAGGTATTACTACAGGTATTATTACAGGTATTATTACAGGTATTACTACAGGTATTATTACAGGCATTACTACAGGTATTATTACAGGCATTACTACAGGTATTATTACAGGTATTACTACAGGTATTACTACAGGTATACAGGTATTATACAGGTATTACTACAGGTATTACTACAGGTATTACTACAGGTATTACTACAGGTATTACTACGGGCATTACTACAGGTATTACTACAGGTATTACTACAGGTATTACTACAGGTATTATTACAGGCATTACTACAGGTATTACTACAGGTATTATTACAGGCATTACTACAGGTATTATTACAGGTATTACTACAGGTATTATTACAGGTATTACTACAGGTATTACTACAGGCATTACTACAGGTATTATTACAGGTATTACTACAGGTATTACTACAGGTATTATTACAGGTATTACTACAGGTATTACTACAGGTATTACTACAGGTATTACTACAGGTATTACTACGGGCATTACTACAGGTATTACTACAGGTATTACTACAGGTATTACTACAGGTATTATTACAGGCATTACTACAGGTATTACTACAGGTATTATTACAGGCATTACTACAGGTATTATTACAGGTATTACTACAGGTATTATTACAGGTATTACTACAGGTATTACTACAGGTATTATTACAGGTATTACTACAGGTATTACTACAGGCATTACTACAGGTATTACTACAGGTATTACTACGGGCATTACTACAGGTATTACTACAGGTATTACTACAGGTATTACTACGGGCATTACTACAGGTATTACTACAGGTATTATTACAGGCATTACTACAGGTATTATTACAGGCATTACTACAGGCATTACTACAGGTATTATTACAGGTATTACTACAGGTATTACTACAGGTATTACTACAGGTATTACTACAGGTATTATTACAGGTATTACTACAGGTATTACTACAGGCATTACTACAGGCATTACTACAGGCATTACTACAGGCATTACTACAGGCATTACTACAGGCATTACTACAGGCATTACTACAGGTATTACTACAGGCATTACTACAGGCATTACTACAGGTATTACTACAGGTATTACTACAGGTATTACTACAGGCATTACTACAGGTATTACTACAGGTATTACTACAGGTATTATTACAGGTATTACTACAGGTATTACTACAGGTATTACTACAGGCATTACTACAGGCATTATTACAGGTATTACTACAGGTATTACTACAGGTATTACTACAGGCATTACTACAGGTATTATTACAGGTATTACTACAGGTATTACTACAGGTATTACTACAGGCATTACTACAGGCATTACTACAGGTATTATTACAGGTATTACTACAGGTATTACTACAGGTATTACTACAGGTATTATTACAGGTATTACTACAGGTATTATTACAGGTATTACTACAGGTATTACTACAGGTATTACTACAGGTATTACTACAGGCATTACTACAGGTATTACTACAGGTATTATTACAGGTATTACTACAGGTATTACTACAGGTATTATTACAGGTATTACTACAGGTATTACTACAGGTATTACTACAGGTATTACTACAGGTATTACTACAGGCATTACTACAGGCATTACTACAGGTATTATTACAGGTATTACTACAGGTATTACTACAGGTATTATTACAGGTATTACTACAGGTATTACTACAGGTATTACTACAGGCATTACTACAGGCATTACTACAGGTATTACTACAGGTATTACTACAGGTATTACTACAGGTATTACTACAGGTATTATTACAGGTATTACTACAGGTATTACTACAGGCATTACTACAGGTATTACTACAGGTATTACTACAGGTATTATTACAGGCATTACTACAGGCATTACTACAGGTATTACTACAGGTATTATTACAGGCATTACTACAGGTATTATTACAGGTATTATTACAGGTATTATTACAAGCATTACTACAGGTATTACTACAGGTATTATTACAGGTATTATTACAGGTATTACTACAGGTATTACTACAGGCATTACTACAGGCATTACTACAGGTATTATTACAGGCATTACTACAGGTATTACTACAGGTATTATTACAGGTATTACTACAGGTATTATTACAGGTATTACTACAGGTATTACTACAGGCATTACTACAGGTATTACTACAGGTATTACTACAGGTATTACTACAGGTATTATTACAGGTATTATTACAGGTATTACTACAGGCATTACTACAGGTATTACTACAGGTATTATTACAGGTATTACTACAGGTATTATTACAGGTATTACTACAGGTATTACTACAGGCATTACTACAGGTATTACTACAGGTATTACTACAGGTATTACTACAGGTATTACTACAGGTATTATTACAGGCATTACTACAGGTATTACTACAGGTATTATTACAGGTATTATTACAGGTATTACTACAGGTATTATTACAGGCATTACTACAGGTATTATTACAGGCATTACTACAGGCATTACTACAGGTATTATTACAGGTATTACTACAGGTATTACTACAGGTATTATTACAGGTATTACTACAGGTATTACTACAGGTATTACTACAGGTATTACTACAGGTATTACTACGGGCATTACTACAGGTATTACTACAGGTATTACTACAGGTATTACTACAGGTATTATTACAGGCATTACTACAGGTATTACTACAGGTATTACTACAGGTATTACTACAGGTATTACTACAGGTATTATTACAGGCATTACTACAGGTATTATTACAGGCATTACTACAGGCATTACTACAGGTATTATTACAGGTATTACTACAGGTATTACTACAGGTATTATTACAGGTATTACTACAGGTATTACTACAGGTATTACTACAGGTATTACTACAGGTATTACTACGGGCATTACTACAGGTATTACTACAGGTATTACTACAGGTATTACTACAGGTATTATTACAGGCATTACTACAGGTATTACTACAGGTATTACTACAGGCATTACTACAGGTATTATTACAGGCATTACTACAGGTATTATTACAGGTATTACTACAGGTATTATTACAGGTATTACTACAGGTATTACTACAGGCATTACTACAGGTATTACTACAGGTATTACTACGGGCATTATTACAGGTATTACTACAGGCATTACTACAGGCATTACTACAGGCATTACTACAGGTATTACTACAGGTATTACTACAGGCATTACTACAGGTATTACTACAGGTATTACTACGGGCATTACTACAGGTATTACTACAGGTATTACTACAGGTATTACTACGGGCATTACTACAGGTATTACTACAGGTATTATTACAGGCATTACTACAGGTATTATTACAGGCATTACTACAGGCATTACTACAGGTATTATTACAGGTATTACTACAGGTATTACTACAGGTATTACTACAGGTATTACTACAGGTATTATTACAGGTATTACTACAGGTATTACTACAGGCATTACTACAGGCATTACTACAGGCATTACTACAGGCATTACTACAGGTATTACTACAGGCATTACTACAGGCATTACTACAGGTATTACTACAGGCATTACTACAGGCATTACTACAGGTATTACTACAGGTATTACTACAGGCATTACTACAGGCATTACTACAGGTATTACTACAGGTATTACTACAGGTATTATTACAGGTATTACTACAGGTATTACTACAGGTATTACTACAGGCATTACTACAGGCATTATTACAGGTATTACTACAGGTATTACTACAGGTATTACTACAGGCATTACTACAGGTATTATTACAGGTATTACTACAGGTATTACTACAGGTATTACTACAGGCATTACTACAGGCATTACTACAGGTATTATTACAGGTATTACTACAGGTATTACTACAGGTATTACTACAGGTATTATTACAGGTATTACTACAGGTATTATTACAGGTATTACTACAGGTATTACTACAGGTATTACTACAGGTATTACTACAGGCATTACTACAGGTATTACTACAGGTATTATTACAGGTATTACTACAGGTATTACTACAGGTATTATTACAGGTATTACTACAGGTATTACTACAGGTATTACTACAGGTATTACTACAGGTATACTAAGGCTACTACAGGCAAGGCATTACTACAGGTATTATTACAGGTATTACTACAGGTATTACTACAGGTATTATTACAGGTATTACTACAGGTATTACTACAGGTATTACTACAGGCATTACTACAGGCATTACTACAGGTATTACTACAGGTATTACTACAGGTATTACTACAGGTATTACTACAGGTATTATTACAGGTATTACTACAGGTATTACTACAGGCATTACTACAGGTATTACTACAGGTATTACTACAGGTATTATTACAGGCATTACTACAGGCATTACTACAGGTATTACTACAGGTATTATTACAGGTATTACTACAGGTATTACTACAGGCATTACTACAGGTATTATTACAGGTATTATTACAGGTATTACTACAGGTATTATTACAGGTATTACTACAGGTATTATTACAGGTATTACTACAGGTATTACTACAGGTATTACTACAGGCATTACTACAGGTATTATTACAGGTATTATTACAGGTATTACTACAGGTATTATTACAGGTATTACTACAGGTATTATTACAGGTTACTACAGGTATTATTACAGGTATTACTACAGGTATTACTACAGGCATTACTACAGGTATTATTACAGGTATTATTACAGGTATTACTACAGGTATTATTACAGGTATTACTACAGGTATTACTACAGGTATTACTACAGGCATTACTACAGGTATTATTACAGGCATTACTACAGGTATTACTACAGGTATTATTACAGGTATTACTACAGGTATTATTACAGGTATTACTACAGGTATTACTACAGGTATTACTACAGGTATTACTACAGGCATTACTACAGGTATTACTACAGGTATTATTACAGGTATTACTACAGGTATTACTACAGGTATTACTACAGGTATTACTACAGGCATTACTACAGGTATTACTACAGGTATTATTACAGGTATTACTACAGGTATTACTACAGGTATTATTACAGGTATTACTACAGGTATTACTACAGGTATTACTACAGGTATTACTACAGGCATTACTACAGGCATTACTACAGGTATTATTACAGGTATTACTACAGGTATTACTACAGGTATTATTACAGGTATTACTACAGGTATTACTACAGGTATTACTACAGGCATTACTACAGGCATTACTACAGGTATTACTACAGGTATTACTACAGGTATTACTACAGGTATTACTACAGGTATTACTACAGGTATTACTACAGGTATTACTACAGGCATTACTACAGGTATTACTACAGGTATTACTACAGGTATTATTACAGGCATTACTACAGGCATTACTACAGGTATTACTACAGGTATTATTACAGGTATTACTACAGGTATTACTACAGGCATTACTACAGGTATTACTACAGGTATTATTACAGGCATTACTACAGGTATTACTACAGGTATTATTACAGGCATTACTACAGGCATTACTACAGGTATTATTACAGGCATTACTACAGGTATTACTACAGGTATTACTACAGGTATTATACAGGCATTACTTACTACAGGCTATTTACTAAGGCATTACTACAGGTATTACTACAGGTATTACTTACAGGTATTACTACAGGTATCTACATGTATTACTACAGGTATTACTACAGGTATTACTACAGGTATTACTACAGGTATATAAGGCATTACTACAGGTATTACTACAGGTATTATTACAGGTATTACTACAGGTATTATTACAGGCATTACTACAGGTATTACTACAGGTATTACTACAGGTATTACTACAGGTATTACTACAGGTATTATTACAGGCATTACTACAGGTATTACTACAGGTATTACTACAGGTATTATTACAGGTATTACTACAGGTATTACTACAGGTATTATTACAGGCATTACTACAGGCATTACTACAGGTATTACTACAGGTATTATTACAGGTATATAGAGATAGTTTTTTAAAAATGTTAAGCAACTATAGACACCTTTTAGAACAGACATCTCCAACGGGCAAGTTATTAGCTTACTCAAAGTTATGATGACTTAGTCAACAAAGAAAAAGGCATATTATACATAAAAACTATCAAAACAAAAGCAGCTCTAAGATCTTTAAAAAGCTAACCCAGATTGTCTTTCTTCCTGTGACTGT